TTTTTCTTTTTTTTTTTTTTTGTCTTTAATATTTTACAGATGACCTGTTTTTTCCTTTCTGCAAGATTAAACTTCTTGTAAAGTTTATGGGTTGATACCCCCTCCAAAAAAAAGTTAATGGCTAATATATCTTTTTCAGGGTATGTTAGAACCCACAAAGGAACCACTGAAACCACTTTCTGCTGCAGAAAAAATTGCTTCTATCGGTCAGACAACTACCATGTCACCAGAAATGAACACATGTACATCTGACCAATTCCAGGTAAATATATTAGTATTTGTATAGATATGTTCATGCATGGATATCAATATGTCCCCACACGCTGTTTCTCTTAATATATAACTTACAATTTTTAAAATAATTTTTAAAATGTGATTTCATGATGGATGTGATTCAATTTCTTAGTAACATCCCTTGGAATACAATGAACAAATTATCTTTAATTTCCAAAAAAAGAAACACAATTTGAGAACTGGCTGGTTATGGGTAAGTCCTTTAAACTTATCTAAGCCTTAGTCTCTTTACCTATAAAATGAAGACTTTGAAGCAAGCATCTCTAAAAGTCCCTTGCAGCTTGAACATTGTATGATCATAATTACTGACACACAAATCTGGTAAGTGCTGGATTTCCAAAAAAAAAGGAAATACTGTTTATATGCCAGCTCTTCAAGTCTGCTATTGTGTGTTTTTCCTGAGTCCTGCAAAATTTTATAAAGTAATAAAACTTAGGCATGTTTATTACACCAAAAACTAGTGTTTCGGGGAGTTCGAATAAAAATGTTATTTAAGTTGAAAATGATGTGACATTTAACAAAACATTCTGTGGATTAAGAACAAAAGGAAGCTCTCTTTTCTTATTTATCTTCTTAGCACATTTAAGCACAAATTTTATTTCAGTCTAATATGTTTAATATCAAAGCTTCCCTCTCACTTTTTATCTGGCGGAATGTTTTAAAGAGGACATTACCATTTCTAAAACTTATTCTTAACTATGTTTGTCACTTCTTAACCTTCAGTTATATCTTACACAATATCATCTTCATTTACATCTAACACAAAAATGTATGTTTGGACAGCCTTTCCCAGAATATGTGTTCCATTGAATACTAATCCCCAGAGATGCTCCACTAAAGAAAGGTTCCAGGGTAAAGTAAGTTTGGGAAGTACTTCATACTGTACCCTACAACCACTGTTGGAGATTCACAACACACATTAAGGACTCTGAAGAATCTTGTAGTGAATTACCCTATTTCACTTTAATTAATGTCTCAAATTTACTTAGCTATGGGACCCTTTTCTGCAGAGACTGGAGGAGGAGAGAGCTATAAGACTCATGTCACTAGTGTTTTGAAGAACATACTTTAGAAAATAATGATACAAAGCAAGGTCCTGCCCTTTCGGGTGTGTTTCTAAAAACATCTGATATTACTGCTGTGTTCCACTGTGGTTTATTACTTGGCACAGCTCAAACACCCCTTTGAAGCCAGTTTACTATTGGCACTGAATTCGTGAGCAAAGAGACCCAATGCTAAAATGCCTGGCTTTATTGATGTTTGGGCAACAGGCAAGGTGACTTGGGCAAAATGTTTCAGTAGGTATAATCTGTCTTTAGTTATCCTCCTTTCATTGTCCTCTTGCTATGAACTGCTCTCCCAGGCCTGTTCTGCTATGGAGATTCCAAAATTACTTCTCCCACAGCACATTCCCACTTCTGCCTTAATCAGCATTCTTATTTCTACAGTGCTAGATATTAGGAGAGTTACTTGAGTATAACTACCTGGTTCATTTACCGAAATGAGGCCATTTGTTGCTAGTTTTGATTGCCTCCTTTCCCTTTTCTTCTCCATCCAACCATTTCCATTTGTTAAAGCTCCGTAAACTATTGCTTATTTTATCAGAATTAACTGTCACTGGTCATTTTGCCCCTCACTGATTTGGTTGATCTTTTGTATTTCATTCTAGTCATACCTCATACTTAGCATCTTTATTATATAATTGAATTATAGACTTGACTAAAAGTCTAGATGACCTAATAAAAATATGTGTGTTAATTTAATGGAAGACAATGGAAATTAATGTGTGTTAATTTAATGGAAGTGAGTTGCAGCTCCATTGTATGTATTCGGCTACTGCCATCTCTGTACACACACATACACGCCTATGTACTTGTAATCAAAGTATTACTGTCTCCCTGTTTATAGGCAAGTATAGAAATTGCAACACCATTTAAGCATATCTAACTTTTTTGTTAGAAGACGGAACTTGGTCTCTTGCTAATTTTATGATTAATCAAGTACATCCTTTTATTCTGTTAATGCACACATTTCTCTTTTTAAAAAGTACACATATAAATATTGCATTAACAGGTTTATTCTATACTTTGTTGTAGTTTGTGATACTCATGACTTTTACTTTTTAGGCTTTTCTAGGAACCAATGAAAGTAATATTTCCCAATGGAAGTTGTTCAAACTTATTTCTGAATTGACATGAGCCTTTATAAGTCTTTATTCTACCATACACACACACAGTAAAATTGCAGATTTCAGCATGCATATTAGAATTTTGTGCTGAGATGCCTGACCTCCATTGCTGAATTGTATGATCTTTGCTTGGCTCCACACTTGTGATTCAGATCAAAATATTTAACAAACATATGAAATGCATTTTAAAAATTCTCTTTTATAGAAAGCAATATTTCTTGCCACTATTCTTTGCCATGCTATGTATGTATTACTTTTACTTTACTTTTTGGCCATGCAGTAATGCTATTACATCTTCCTGCTGTCATAATTTTCAGATGAAACAGCCATAGCAGTTAATGCTAGAAGCTTAACAAAATGTGTCAGGAAAGACCTGTTTAATACCTGATTTGTTTTTTTCAAAAACCACATACCAAACCTTCCTTTCATAAAGTTTTTGTTTTGGGCAGCCCTAAACATTGACTTTCAAACTTAGCATAGTTATGTAATTCTCATTTTACTACATGCTTTTTGATCTGTCTATGTCAATTTTGGTGCCCATTGAATTTTTATTATTTCTTCCAAATTAGTTTGTACTCATTCATCTTGTAACAATTGCATCTCTTGTTTAGGAATTTAATAAATTAGTAACAACTGTTAATGGTGTTTTTTTTTACTTTTACCTGAAAAGGCAGCTTATCAATAAAAGCAGTAGTGGTAATTTTGTTATTTGGGGTTTTTTTTTTAAATCTTTATCCACTGAATTTCAAGGTCACGTCATCCATGGTGTCATTATTGATTCCCCTCTTAGTAGGATCATTGCTTTAACCACACTTTATTCACTGCTGAGTAGAGTCAGCTCTCTGGCTAGCAACTAGTCACCACTAGCAAACTTCCTCTCTTAGGCTCCTTGATGTGAATCAGAATGTTAGAAGAAAGAAAAAATTATTATCTACCATTATGCTGTCCTTTTACAAGAAGAAAACATATTTGGAAAGGCTAAGTGATATACCCAAAATCATACATCAGCTAAGACTATAACCCAAGTTTCCTGTCTCAAGTCTCTATTTTGTTTTTTGTTTTTCTTTGCTCTTTTTATGACCTGTTTCCTTAGTGTTTTTGTCTCTATAGGAATCATTCATACCACATTGCTTCAGGTTATTTTAAAATGCTTCATTCTAGTGCTTTTTCTTTGAGTTGCCTGGTCAATGCCATTAGCCTATAATTGCTTAGGTATCCAGTTTTTCATGTCTCAATTCCACTAAATGTTTATTCATGTTTTAGCACCTCATTATTTTAATATTGGCTATGTCTTAAAAATGCCATACACCATTATGAGAGGGTAAAATTCTAGCAAATCACTGAAATATTTCTAAGCACCCAGCTACTTGACATCATTTAGATTAAACATGTTAATGGAAGAGCTTTGCTCCATTTATCCAGAAATTTTGTTACTACATAAACCTGAGTTTTGTCGGTGTTGAATATGACTAAAGATGTCACTGACCTAGAAGTAGAATAATATAAATTGAATCTGTCGGAGTGCCGAGAGTTGTTTGCTTTGTTTGTTTGTTTGTTTTGGAGATAAACTAAAGATCTTTTCTAAATGTTGTTCATCAGTCTTCAAGTAGGTTATAAACTAGATTTTCACTAGAATTTTTTGTTAAAATTATAAATTCACAGATAGCTGTAAAGGTAATACAGAAGATGTGCCTTGTACCCTTCATAGGTTTCCCTCATGATTACATCTTACGTAATTATAGTACAATATCACAACCATTAGTAAGATATTTATACAATATATGTGTGTAGTTCTGTCATTTTATCACTTGGAGAGATGCATGTAACTACAACAGCAGTCAAGATACAGAACTCTTCCATCACCACAAAGCATTCCCTTAATAGTTCCCTCCCCACTGACCCTACCTTGCCCCACTCCCACAACTATCCCTAACTGCTAGCAACCACTAATGTTAGCATTTTGCTTTGCTTATACTGCTCCCCGCCCACACACACAACTTCCAAGCCTTACTTTGTTTGGGGCAAACTAAATGCTTATTATAGTAACATACCTATCACTGGTATCCCAGTTATCAAAATAATTGTTGTTATGATATCATGGTATTAGACTTTCAGAAATAACCAGTTCATTCTCCTTTCCTATAAGGAACAGTGTCTTTACACAGAAAAAAAAATGAGTACAAAGTTTTAATGGTACCTACCTTATAATAAAGCATATACATATATACAGGAAAGCAATAAAAGACATGTTAATATTGAGTCTAATGAAATAGATTATTTCAGTAAGTGTTGTCAACACCACCCCAAAATAAAAAAGAAAACTGAAAACCACAATTTTTTCTCATCAAGAATATTCTTAAAATAGAGCAATGCTTATTTAAAAAATGTTTTTTACTACCATCCATCTTATTTGTACTTATATGTATTTCATTTTGTCTTTATGTGTTTGGCAGTTAACAGTATTTTAAAACCTGTAATAGTCAAATGAGTTTGAGTATACTTTTTAGTACACTAAAAAGTGTAATTATTTTAAAAATTAAATTCTGATGCAGATTATAAGTAATCTCTAATGTAGAGAAATTGATTAAATTTTAAAATATATTTTTTACCATAGTTTCTATTTACTAACCCATAATTTCTTTTATAATTTGGAAAATTGTAAAGAACCAGAGACCTTAGACTTTGAAGCTTCTCATTTTATATATGACAAGACCAATTAAATTAATGATACATGGTCATACAACTAGTTACTTAGGAGTTACTCAGTCTCGAGCAACCCAGATCTCCACAGTTTTAGTATGGTACCTTCTCTATTTAATTATACTATCTATCAAGAAATTTTAAGTGGCTAATCATTTAAAATAACTACACTAGTTAAAAAAAAAGTCAGTGATTTTTTAAATATTTTAATGTTTTTAGTGTACTCAAGCCAATAGTTTAAATCATGATTTGAGAATAGGCTGAAATCTTGACATAGAATCAGTCCATAAATTTATACTTGAAAATGTGAAGATAATTCTATTTCTCAGATACTTTTGTGATGTCAACAGTCTGTACCGTTTGTAAATTTTGCAGTTTCAGTTTGAGTTAATATTTGCAGATAACCTTCTGAAATTGCAAATTATCCCAATTTTGTCTTTAGATATTTTATTGCCCAATTATTTTGCTATAATATATATTTTTAAGGATTCTTTATGTTGCTACAACCTGTACTGATTAATTCTGATTTTTTGATTTTCAACTCTAGGAGTCTCTACCACCCGTCCAGTTTGACTGGAGTAGCAGTGGCCTTACTAACCCTTTAGATGGTACGTCTCTCCGTAGAGCCTCTAGCACCAGAGCTAGAGTTAAGAAAGCTACAAAGTTCAGACAGACTTCTCTCTGCTGATTTCCTTTTTTGTTTCAATATAACTTCTTATTCTTATCTTTGGAAATTCAGGCTTTCTTTCCAAATAGTAATTGCTCAAGAAGCCAGCCATTACTATTATTAATAGTATTAATGTTCAATATAGGTAGTAGTAGCTAGGTAAAATTTTAGTTAAAGCCAAAAACAAGCTGCTTTATTTTTTACAAATATCTAAGGTGTTTAAATGATATTTTAGGTAGAAACAATTTACTTGAAATTTGTTTCTGTAGTTTTAATTTATAGAGTTTTCTTGGATGCAAAGTTTTGTGGCTAGAGGCTGCTTTAAACCACAAAGCACAATTATTTAACCAAAAACAGTGTGCAAATAGATCCATATTTATTGACTTAAAGTAGTTTTCAGATTTAATAATGTTTTGTAAAGCACTTATATGCAAATGGAAATGAATGGTTTTCATGATCTTTTTCTAAAACTTATCTCAAAATACTAGGAAGTAGTTCCAGAAGTAATTAGTTTCACTAGAGGCTTTAAGAGAAATTCCTGAAAAGGGGATAACTTATTCCAGTAATGTGGGGTCTTTAAAATCACACAAAAAGCTGTCTTTTCAATGCGTTGACACCACAGTTTTAATTGGACTCTTAAGATAAAATTACTCTTAACTCCTCATACTTCATCAGTTGTTTGAGCTATTGCCTAAAACACCTGTCATTCTCAGTTTTGCCTTAGAGTGGGGATCCTAAGATATGTGAAAAGCATCCAATTGAATAACAGTGCTGAAGGAAAGCCTGGATGCACCTTTTGCTGTTGTCTGGTGTCTTATTTAGTCAAATCATCGTGCTTTTTATTAACAAACAACTTCTTTAAAAATGTATATTATTTCTGATTACTGTTTCAGAGTTAAAGGGGAACAGTACAGCTTGAGGTTACACATCAGGGTAGGGTAGTTATGACATTCCTTATTATGTTTCATTTTAAAATAAGTTAATGTATTGGTGCGTGTCCTAAAACTGACAGCTTTGTCGCTTTTAAAAGATCATTAACTAGAAACCAACATTACTAACATGAAATATTGATTTGGGCATGTACAGTGATTTAATGTTGGGTTGAGATTAAAGTATTGTTTCCCTTTAACGGATATATTTTCCCTTTGGTCTTTCTGGTATGGCTTCGAGTTTTGATGGGAAGAACTGAACTCCTAACTAAAACCTTACTAAGTGTTCAATTACTTACGTTGTACATGAGAAAATGTACATTGAATTAAATTGTTACTTCAGAAATGTCCTTAGTAATGAAAAACTAATACTGTACACATTGTTTTAATGTTGATTTAAAAATGTGTAATGACTACTAATTATAACCTGCATGTTCAAGTGTGTGTCTTACCCCTTTTTACACATAACCCCTCCTCCCTTGGCTTACCTTCTGTGTGGCTGCCTATCAACACGGTCACTGAATTTCAAGCTAGTGGAGGTTCCACTCTTCTGAACCTTGATTTCTTTGGGCCCGTGGATGACAGTAGCTCTAGCAGCAGCACCACAATCCCAGGTCAGCAGAGTGTTAAAACCACAATTCTAGTTTATTTACTAAAAGCATGACCACATCACTTGACTTTCCTATAAACAAGGAAACAAGTAGATTGTATTCTCTATGATGTCTTTCTAATACTTTTTTTTTCATCTATCATTGTTTTCTAGTAGCTGACTATAGCAAATGACTTATGTGAAATGTATTTTAAGGAAAGCTTTCTCAGAGTGTAATATTCAGAGCTGAAAGTAGTCTCTAGGTATAAAATAGCCCTAATGTCCTTAGACATTTAAAGGGAGGGGGTTTTTTTCTTGTAAGTGAAAAATGTGATGTTTTATATGCTTATTTTTTAAAGCATATTCTTTAAAGTCATTTTAAAAATATAAGTTTAGAGATAAGAATATTTTAGTACACAAAGATGGCTTTACATTATAGTGCCTGTTATAATAGAACTTTTACAAATTCTAACATTCAATTAGTTGTTTATTAGTGTTGCTAAATGTATAATTAGGCCCCAAACTATTGGAGTCTAGCACTTAGTTATATAGTCCCACATAGAACTATAACTGTTTTTATGTAGCTCTTAAATAGAAAGTATACTGTTACAGTTTTCCATGGAGAAAAAGAAAAAGTTACAAAAGTGAATAGCAGAAAATAATTACTATGAGATACTAAAAGTTAGAAATTAAACCTTACTGGAGCGCCTGTTAAATTAATGTTTAGCCCTGCAACAGTTCAGTTCATTGACCAAAGAACTAATGTACTTTGTTATTTGCTAACTGAATAAAAGATTAAAATATAATGGCATTTTTATGTTTACATTTTATTTTAAATGATTTTAATGAGTCTCTGTCATCCCAATTTGTGATTAGGTAATCATGCCCACTGATCACCAGGCAGCCGTTGGGTGCTATATAGATGCTGATGCCCAGAACGCTTAGTGAGGATTCCTCTCTGTCCCCACTAGTGGTCAGTTACACAGCCAGCCTGGTTCCTGAGAATTTGCTGAGTTTGTTCTATTCAACTAGATAACCCTGCTACCCACTTCCAGCAGCTTAGGCACCATAATGGGAAATGGGGGAGAGTAAAAGAATCAGCTAAGAGTGAACCTGGGTCGAGGATGCCTTTCTGCAAGGTCTGCTTATGGAAATCCAATCCTGCTATAAGGAAGTTCCAAGACCATTAGGTAGAAGAACTGGGTTCCTCAAATCTAAGCCCCTGGTTATCATGTTGATTGTTTCCAAAAGTTTGCAAGCATGTGAAAAACCAATCTGTGTCTGGTTTTGACTGCAAAATGATATTTCACTATTTACTTAAATTACTTCTAAATACATTTGAGCTATAGAATGACCTGGGTGAGCTAATTAGTTGTTTTTAATACTTAATGGTGGGGGGGGGGGGAAGCTTGTATATCCATTTCCTTATTACTGTATTCCCAAGAATGAATTACCAAGTTCTCATTTTTAATTTGCTCTCAGCTTTGTTTTATCATGAACTATATTATAATTTAAATGAGGTCACTATTTTTGGATGCCTAAAACCTGGTTTAAATTTAATTTTTGGTTACATTTCAAACTCAGTTAAAAATTATCCATAGGAGCACAAATAATCTGACCATATAAAGAAGTACAGAAATGGCCTGATAACCAGGCTCAGTATACACAGCTCTTAGAAGAAGAGCAAGCGGTTTCAGAAGCTTAGAGCTGTAATGGAAGTGAAATTAGCATGGTCAAATGCGGTCCTCATTACTTTGGAAACTTTTAAATATTTTTGTTCTGTATTTTCATTAAAATGCTCTAGCTGCTGTATAAATTTGATTACTATAAAGTTGCTTTGGCTTTTTTTTATTGCTATTGAGTTTTATTAAAACTTACCATCAAGCTACAGGTATCAATACCTTCCTTAGTATTCCATTTCACCACTTGCTTGCACTTTTTCTGACTTGTTTCTGGGAAAGTCACTTTGTCTTAGCTTGCGGTTATTTAATTATTTTGTGTATGAGACTTAGGAGGTTGGCATAGAACTTGGTTGGCTAGCTTTAGTTACATAACTATACTGTGCCTCATTAAGGTTGTTAAGAAAAACTTCATTAAAAAAATTACTCTCTTAATGATTAGTATAAAGTAGGTAGCTATCTTGTTTTTGAAAAATATAGCCATAGTACTATTTTTTATTATTTATTATTTTTTTTAATGATAGCGTTTGGGGCTGTGGTAGGTTGATTTTTTTTGTTCCCTTTTTTTAATCTCCCACTTTACTCTGACAGCCAAATGGCCAGTATTTTACAAACCCAGCGAAATTTTTATTAGTACTTTCCTGTTGCCAGTTAGAATGTAGTTGTTTATTCTGCATTATGCATTAGACAGCTACTAAAATTTGTGGTTACTTGGATTCTAACTTTTCACAGTGGAGAAAGGAGATACTTTGGGTTCATTTGGTCCTTTTACAGGCATCTATAACTTTTTACATTTTAATTGAAAACTATATAATTATTATAGAAATACAAAGAAAAGGCCTTGCCTTTTAAATATATTTTGAAACTGTACCTTAATGAAATATTAAGAACTTGGGAGAGTCAACATTTTCTATAGCCTTCCTCCCTTGTACACAGTAACTGTGGAAGCCGCTTTTGCTTGATTTCTGTAAACATCTGAGATCAATGTTTACATATGCTAGCCATCTATCTACAAAGTTGGTTAATAGAAGGCAATTCCTGAGTTTTTTCTTAACCTTGAAATATTTCGAAACAGGGAAACTTGTAAATATCAATATCTACATTTATATGTAATTTTATCAGCTGATCATCAGGGCTTTTTTAGAAATAATAAGAAAAGATTGATGAAGCTATAAGACATTCTTCCTTAAAGCCTGCTTTTCTGTCATACTCTGAAACTGCTGAACTTTTCATCTAATTTGCTGGGACCAAGGAGAGTGTAGGATTAAAAGGGTTTTTTATCCGGTTATCTTCATTACCCAAAGTTTAGCTTGAGTTGAAATATTTAATTGTTCTTTTCAGTGTTTTCATAGTCATATTTAATATAAATCTCCAGTCAGAGGAAATACAAAAGTATTTATGTATATTTTAGTGAAGTTAGATAAGGGGAGGATTTTATACACTTTTACAATAAGTCTAATCCTCTAACATAGCTTCACTTTGAATTCTTCTAACAAGATATTTGAACTTCTGGCTACTGCATTTAGATATGAAACTATGGAAATATAATTAACCCTTGAGACAGTTTTTATTTTGTCTAAAAGTAGTTCTTTTTTTTTTTCACTTTTTCTGAGAATATTATACCCTCCCCACTTCTTACCTAAAGAAAGAACAATTTGATATATAATTTATCTTTGGTAATAATTTGATGCTTTGAGTAATATGTCCTCAGATGGTCAGAATATTTAAACTAACCAAATTACATTTGAAACATTATATTAGCTTCCAAACCTTTTGATGTGAAAGAAAATAATGGAGAAAAATGGTAAGGGAGGTAGGAGAGGAAAGTTCAAAAAATGAGAATCAGTCCATTTAAAATTTGAGGTGTATTATTGTATGACAAATCAGTGTATTATTCTCTTTATAAAATATTGTTTCATAGTGTAAACTAATCCAAAAGTGAGGGAATTTTCTATAGCAGATAGAATTTTTAGAAGTACTTGGATGGTATTATGTTAGATAAGGGCTATATTTATATCAAAGTGGAATTTTAAAAGTATTTTCCTACTTAATAATTCTGAAAAATGGAACTTATAATTTAAAAAATAAACGCAGTAGTACAGTGTACTACAGATATGTTTATAAAAGACTCAGATGTTTACAGAATAATTGCCTTTTGCATCTTGGATTGTGGCTATTGAGTGACCTATTACAGCTTGCCATCACTGACTGTCATTTTATACTACAAGGTGTGGATCCAGAGTTGTATGAGTTAACAACTTCTAAACTGGAAATCTCCACTTCAAGCCTCAAAGTGACTGATGCATTTGCAAGACTCATGTCCACAGTAGAGAAGACAAGCACATCTACCAGGTAAACAGCTAGTTACACCCTAATTTTGAATTCTCTGTTAAAACAGCCCAGATGGTAAAACACATAAGATGGCAGTATTTCAGTGTATTGTATTAAAATTCACTTGATATTTATAAAAACCAATAGATTTCTAATTCCAAAATAGTATCAAGTTATGTTTACTTATGAACTTTATTAGAACAGGGCTATTTCATGAGACTAGAAGGGGCTAACAGATATGGTTCACCCCCCCACTCCCCACCCTAACTTTGTAGAGAAAAATTCTAATTAAGTATTGAGATCATAAAGCCACTATAGAACTACTCCCCCCACCCCCCGCCTTTTCTTTTTCATAACCTACTGAGAAGACCATCTTCGAGAATCCAGTATCACAGTCCCTGAGTCACTTGTGCTAATCTTTTCATTTCCAGACTAAGGTAGAGCAAGGGGTAGCCACTATTTCATTATCTGAAGTTTTCCTGATGCGCAGCACCTCTGATTGCTTTACCAAGGTTTCTAGGATCCCCTTCAGGACTTTAGAAAAGCAGTTATTCCCAGTGTCAGAACCAGATACAAGGAATGTCACTTGGGCCTTGTGTTTGGTATCAGGAAACCTTTAGTTTTACATAATTAAGCACTTGAATAAGCCATTGCTTTGACATGTTAGCCATAAGAATAAACCAGTTTCTAAGAAGCAGCTAATCATTAAATGGAGCCAATAAATCACTGCTGCAAGAGCAAGTATTGGTTGATTGGCATACCAGCTCTGCTGTCCCAAATCCATGAAACATCAGCATTTGAAAATGGAAATAGTTACCTGTTAATTGCCCATTTTGGCAGAAGTATTTTAGCTCTTTCTCCTGAATAAAAACATTCAACTTACTTGTCAAATTCAGATTAATCTTTTAAATCAGTTATTCTGTAGAAAAACATTCATTTAAAAAGGCTTTTTTTCTTGAAAGTAATAAATGCTCACCTGTCTTAAAACTTTGGCTTGAATTATCACATTGCCTTTTAAAATGTATGTATACTTAAGTATCTGTTCATTCAACAGATATTTATTATTAATAAATTTGTATTATTAATACTATTAATACTTATAATTGTGAAAAGCTATTATTATTTGTTTTATAATTTTGGATACCTTTAACTTTTCCCTGGAATGGATTTGTAGCATGCACATTCTCGTTTGTCCGCAGATTCCCACCATTGTTCTCATTACCCCTATTTCTTTGTACTAACACTACCTGGCACTCTTAAAGCCTACTATTAAGTGAACCTACTTGTAAATGAAACCATTATGGATGTTTTGCTTACTTTCTAATTTTTTCTTTTACCAAATAAATTATATTTTCAAATTGTAATTCTTCTCATACAAATTTCTCATCTATTTTTTTATATACATATTAGCCAAAATTAGTGTACATTTAGCTTTAAAAACAACAAAAACGCCAATGCTCCTATTGTCTGGGCTTTGCCCTACTGTTTCCAGACAATCTTATCTAAGGACAATCCTGTATTTTTTCCTCTTCAGTGTCACTGAACTAGTTTTGGAAATCTCGAGGATGCGAATTCCTTCTTTGGGCCATTAGGAGGAGCTCTAAACCACGTTGTTAACTTGCTCTCCTAACTTTTTAACGCATCCTTGAAACACGCTGTACACTAGGAACTTTTCTAACTCCTATCACTTTAAGAAGTTATTTTCATTTTTTCCCTTAGTTTATACTATTATGGAATGAACTAAAGCTATAACATATATCATAGGGCCAGTGTTGTAGCTGCATTGAATTAACTCTCTACTATCTGCTCTTTAAAGACATGCAAGCTTTTAGCTTTAAAATACTTTCATCTTCTTGCTTACCTTTTCTAGTATAGAGAAAAATTACTTCCTAATTTTAATCAGTGGATGACCAGCTAGTTAGTAGCCACAGACCTCTAACTTAAGTTTATACATGCCCAAAGAACTAGTCAAAAAGGATACATCTTTTTTTTTACTTTTTAATTGAGATATAATTCACATACCATAAAATTCACACTTCCCAAGTGTATAATTTAGTTATTTTTAGTATATTCACAAGGTTGCACAGCCGTCACCATTGTCTAATTACAGAACATTTTTATCACCTCAAAAAGAAACCCCATACCCATTAGCCAGTCATTGTCTATCTGCCATTTTCCTCAGCCCCTGGCAAGCACTAGTCTGCTTTCTGTCTCTGTAGATTTGCTTATTCTGGTTATTTCATGTAAGTGGAATCATACAGTATATGGCCTTTTGGGTCTCGCTTTTTTCACTTAGCATGATATTTTCAAGTTCAACCATGTCATTGCACGTATCAGTACTTTTCATTCTTTTTTGTGGCTGCATAGTATCCCGTTTTATGGATATACCACATTTTGTTATCCATTAATCAGTTACTGGACATTTGGATTGTTTTCACTTTCTGACTGCATTCATGTACAAGTTTTTGTGTGGACAGATGTTTTCAGTTTTCTTGGGAATGGAACTGCTGGGTCACATGGTAACTGTTTAACTGTTTGAGGAGTTGCCAAACTGTTTTCCAAAGTGGTGGCTCCATTTTACATTTCTACCAGTAAAGTATAAGAGTGTCAGTTTCTCTGCATTCTCACTAAGGCTTGTTATTGTCTGACTTTTTGGTTATAGCCATCCTAATGAATATGAAATGATATCTCACTGTCATTTTGATTTGCATTTTTCTGGTGGCTAATGATGTCAAGTATCTTATAAGGTGCTTATTAACCATTTGTATCTCTTTAGAGAAATGCCTATTCATGTCCTTTACCAATGTTTTTTGGGGTAATTTGTCTTTATTATAAGAATTTTACATATTCTGGATACTTTACATATTCCGGATCTCTATCAGGTATATGGTTTGCAAGTATATTTTCTCATTGTGTGAGTTGTTTTTTTCCACTTTCTTGATAGTGTCCTGCAAAACACAAAAGTTTCTTAATTTTGATGAAATATACAATTTATATATGTTTTCTGTTGTTGCTCATGCTTTAGATGTCATATCTCAGAAACCATTGCCTACCTCAAGGTCGGAAAAATTTACACATAGGTTTTCTTCTAAGAGTTTTATAGTTTCAACTCTTATATTTAGATCTTTGATCCATTTTGAGTTCTTTAATATGATGTAAGATAGGGGACCAACTTTATTCTTTTGCATGTAGATATCCAGTTGTACCAGCACTGTTTATTAAAATGACTGTTCTCTCCCCTATGAAATGGTCTTGTCACCCTTGTTGAAAATCAGTTTACCAGAAATGTGTGGGTTTATTTCTAGACCGTTAATAGTATTCCTTTGACAAAAAGAATAAATCTTAACTAGAGAGAATATAAATCAAAATTAGGTCACTGCCTGTGGCTTTGTATAAAGGTCATAATATATAACTTTTTATTTTCAATTTCTCTTCAAGCATTTTCTTCTTATATTTTAGGAAAACTAGATCATATCAGTGCTCAGTGACTACAGATAAATGCACAAACAATTATGTAAACTTTTTTTATTTTTAAACACAGCTTCATATTGCCTTCAAGTAATGCCTCTAAAATAAGGCAATTGGTTGAAACCCTAGAATCATCTTTACCAACCATTCCTTGAGTGGAAGCTTCTTCCTCTACTCTCCCACACCCCAACTGCACTCCACAAATGAAGAAGTACATTTAGGTGCAGTTTTGTTAGTATTTTAATAACCTTTTATCATTATAGAAGCCATAAGATATATCATAGAAAGTTAGAAGATACAGGTAAACAAAATTTTTTAAATTTAAGTATCACATTCTTACCACTCAGATCACTATAACTCCTTAGTCCATATTCTTTCAGATCTTTTTTTATGCAAATAGACATGCATGTGTGTTGCTTTAACCAAAAATGAGATTTTATAGACCATGGTGCATTGAACCCACTCTTGCAGTTAGTGATCTCCATCTTCAATTTCAGTAAATTTTCATTTCATCAAATACCCAAGCTATATTCAGATTTCCCCAACAATGCCCTTTCTGCTTTGTCCAAACCAGTAATCAATCTAGGACTATTGTACGTGGCTGTTATGGCTTTTAAGTCCCTTTTAACCTAGCATATCTACCTTCAGTCCTTTTGTTTTTCAGTTTAATAACACTAGCTTATTAAAAAGATCAATCCAGTTATCCTGGAGAATGTCCCAACCTCTGGATTTGTCTGTTTGCTTCCTTCAAGTAGTATTTAATATGTTTCTCTAATCCCCTTATTTCACGTAAACTGGAAATTATGTCTAAAGTTTTGATGGAGTCAGGTAAACCATTTTGGCTAGAATACATCATAGGTGTTTTATCATGTCAGAAGACATACAGCCTGTTGACTCCCACCATTAGTGATGCTAAGATTGACCATTGGTGAGAGGCTAACCTTTTCCATTATATAGTTTGGTTTTTCACTTTGAGACCAAAAAGTTGAACTATCTGGTTTTAGTTTAGAATGATGCAGATATCCAGTTCCGCGTCAAATACCCACCTCATCATTTTGCCATCATTTAAGTGCAATTAAATGAAGATTTTAACCAGAAAAATTTGGAGTGCTCTTCCATTCTCCTGAGAAACCCTAGAACTGAGTTCATTGTTGGTTGACCTGCTGATGGTTTCAGTGTGCCTAAAGCTGACCCTCCATTGAAGATGTTGGGTCCTAAAAGTCTGATGTTTGGTTTTTCAGTAATTTTATAGAATCTTTTGATTTCAGCCTGATTTTAAAAGCAGTAACAACAGAAATGTTGACTTATAAAATAAAGCCTGAATCTATGTTTTCTTGTTTTATCTTCTGAATTCCCACTCCCATCCCAAGGACAAAGAAAATATTTAGATGGATGAAATAACTTGTGTCACACCTAACAGAGTACTAGATATCTTTTATCATAAAAGAGATTGGGCTTTTTAGAGTTAACAATTTTAAATGAACTTTGATCTAAAATTAATATCTTTATGACTACAACTATTCTTTGAATAATTTAACACCCTGGAAAAAAAATAAAGGTTGAATTACAATCACGTGCTCAATTTGAGCTATATTTGAAGCTCAGTTGGCATTTTTTGTGGGTCACCTGCTAGGAAGACATGGGTCACCAAGCGTTCCTCATATATGTACGAGGCACCAGACTGCTCACTTCTAGTACTGAGGGCCAGTGTAGTAAAACGTACTTCATCTAGAGAACCCACAGGATTTGGAGATTTCCCCTCTTTCTAGGTCCTTCCTGCCCATGTACATCCTCAACATCAGCTGCCAGCCCTAATGCTGCTGCTTCTGGACCAGCTTTCTGTGTCCCAGTGAGGCTGAGGCTGGGTTTTGAGCTAAGGGTTTTCTCTCCTGGAATTCCCCCATGGGGATGAAGAGTGCCTGAGGTTAAAATGACTTACAAGGTCTTGTGCCAGACATACTTTGTTTTATGTTGAGGTAATTTTGGTAGTTTCACAGGGAGCAGGGGGAAATCCAGCTGAGCGGAGTGTTATTAGGGCTTCTGAATTATATTTCTGCTTAGTAACATTTTAAAAGTATGCCTGGGGACATGCGAGCTGTACATGTGTACATGTGAATATCTGTACATATGTGCCTAGCTATAATTAACATACATAAATAGGGCATGCTTCTTTATAGGAGATTTGGCTTCTGGCACAGGAAGCACACAACACAACGGTATTATGAGGTTTCAGGAACTGGCAGAGAAAAGGAGACTCAGGTCCCCACAGATTGCTAACTATGGTTAGAGTGGATTTTCTCCCATTTTACCTACAGCAAAGTCACATTAACACACTTCTCTTTTTTTCATTTGTCAATAGGAAACCGAAAAGAGAAGAGCACCTGAGTGAAGAAGCCATCAAGGTGATTGCTAGCCTTCCTGACTTAACGTTTATGCATGCCAAGGTGTTGATGTTCCCAGCTACCTTAACACCTTCCACAAGCTCCCAGGAGAAAGCAGACTGATAACTGATGTAAACTGGACAGTTTCAATTGCTTTTCCTTCACTCCATCCCTCTCCTACCATCAAAAGCATACCTGCTGTAATTAAAAAAAATTCAAGTTCAGCTGATTTGTTGGTAAGCCGCATTAGAAAGGTATACATAGTAATGTATATTTATTTACATACTGAAGTCCTAAATTTATATTAGAAAAAATGTAAATAATCGGGGGTGAACATTTTTGAAGATTTATTCTTTTTGTGTTGCTGGGGTATATACATTTATGTCTTTGTGAAATACACTGGTGGTGTCCTTCTTACAAAACTTTTGAAATAAAAAAAATTAAAAACTCAAATCTCCACTCTGTGAAATCCCCTTCAGTCTTTTCAGATTGCATTGAATGTCCTATTAATTTTTTATATCATCTCAATTACTTTTGCTATCATAAGTAAGCTCCAAAGTCCCTGTTAAATTTTTTTTTTTTTTTTTTTTTTACTTTTGTGTGTGGTAAGTTTGTTT